TCATAAAGAATACTTTAAACTTAAGTGATATTTATAATGTCAAATATATTGGGGGTCGATGTAGGCTATATAATCATTAAAAATGGTAGAGAAATTAGTTTACATTTGTAAACCTATTATACATGTAAAACTAAAACGAAACTTATCAAATATACTTCTGAACAATATTATCAATACGTTAGTTATAAAAACTTAGTTTCAGGTAAATTGATTAAGTTCACTCGTATTTTTCTGTTTGGAATTTTGCAAACGTACAATTCACAATACTACAATAGCTCACAGGGCGAGTTTACCTGGGTTGGGAGGTAACTATTAGATGTCAGTTTGCTTCTTACCGTCACAGTGTACGCATCGTTCGGTATGGAAGTTATAAAAAATTGTTTAGATTGTTTATATAGGGAATAATATTTTACTGTGATGCGGCACAACAGGATAGGCATATAGGAATAGCACAAATAGAAATTCGCTAAACATATGTCTCATGGCAAGACCTGGGCAAGACCTAGACCCGGAACCGAAACAGATTTTATGTTTTTGTTTTAAGCTCCCCAGATGCCAAAACAGTTCGTTCAAATATGTATGTGCAATATAGAGATATTTGTACATGCGTCCATTAGCACTATAACTCAAGTAAGAAAACTACGATTTTGGCAACATTTGAAACAAACGTGTAAAAATCTACGTTTTTTTCAAAGGAGATCGAAAACCAACATGGCCGGACTAATAAAGTTAGAAAACCAATATCTCCTAGCGATTCCCCGTCTTTATTCTTTATTTAATTAACAAACATTGTCAATCTGGCAAGCGATCTCTAATAAAAATATAATTATCAACAGCTTTAAAATCAAAGCTAACAATTAATTATCAAGGCTCTACAAAATATTCATAATAAATAACAACATTTGTTGAAGGCTATTAGTCCCAGTTTTGGAAATCGTTGGAGCATTTTTTTTTAAACATTGTAAGCACAAACGTAACGCGTATAATAGTATAGGGAGAGTCTAGCTATAAATAGAAAGATAAAGATTTAAACTGCCAAATACCCGTGGCCTTTCTCCCTTTTTCCCCATCGTAGATACATGTGTCCGCAATGTTCCGCCCTTGAAATATTTGCAGAGACCTGTCAACCCCTTGTCAGGTAGCAGTAATCTCTAGTGTCCGCTTGTGCCCTCTTTAACGACGTGTCCCCAATATTCCGTGTCCGCATTTGCCCGGCATTCGTTCTATAGTAGATAGTGCATGTAAATTAATACTTTACCCATTGTGTTGCAATGTAGTTCAATAAAATGTTATCATCGTTTGATTATACATCAACCTTTGTTAAAAGGTTAACGGTTTTGTGCTATATCAAGGTTATTGCGCTTTGGACTTTTTTACAATAATATTACGTAATGTATTTTTCTATCAAGCTGATAAGCATTTCGATTGATAAGGGAAAATTTATTTGCATGATATCTTGTAAAACAGTCTTATTTAGATTAAATTTAATGTAATAATGCTATCTTAAGTGAAATTGAATATATTCAAAATCTAGTCAAAAGGAACACTATTGTGTGATGTAATCATAAAGCTAAATCAAAGGTGTCTCCAACGTTATTCTCACGATGGAGTTTGTTAATGTAACTTCCTTGCAGTGTTTATGGAGATAAAATGCTTTTTAGGAGTAATCTGTTAATATTCAACACAACACAGCATTATTGTCTTTTCTCGATTAAATTGTTAAGAAATTATCTAAAGTGATAAAAATGTATTTCCTCTAGTTTGTTTATTTAAATTGTGACTAATTTTATACGTAAACTGCCCTTGTGCATGACACTTTTTAATGTGGAGCTTTAATGAGGTAGACAACTGGAAATGCGCTGAGTCAGCAGGTTTGATGCTACGGGGGTCATTTTGCGGTTCCGTTCTAACGGTGGGACGAAGAGAAGGGTTATGATTGCAAGTTCGATGTTCTTTGCGCGGTTCACACGAACATCTCTATACATTTATCTCATGGCAAGACCTAGGCTCGGGACCACTGCGCTATTTCGTTTAAGGTAAAAAATAGAAGCATACAAAATCCCGTAAAAATCGTGCATTTATATGTTCATTACATAACCACTCTACGCCTATGTACATAAATACTGAAAGTGCTTAACGTATCTACAATCTACATATCTACATATTTCCCATGTTATCCTAACTGGAATAATTGTACAAAATAACAACACTACGTGATCATAAGGGCTACCTAAGGTGATATATGATTTGTACAGTAGGCGTGGGTCTGTTGAAGGTAAATTCTATAGGCCAATGCAAATTGAAATCCACAAGGTTTGCTACAAGAGGGAAAACTTGTATAGGCCTACCGTATAGTTCTGGTAACACTAACCTGTTAATGTTTTTAGAACAGACAGTAGTCGGTCTGCGCTACTCAGGAGATTCCAGAAGCTACTGCAGACTAGTGACGAGACCGAGGATGAATTATTTACCAAGAGCAAACTCTGAGACAACCTACGCTTCACACAACCACGTGAGGTATGTGTTGAGTACACATTGTAATGTACACTTTACACCCAGTAGCTCCGTGTACTTATCACCTGGATACGATCAAATACTGACAATGTTATGGTGCATGTAGATGTTTCATTGATTTTTCAACAGATACATCCATTCATCATAGTTATGTTGATCATGATCATGTATTTTGTAATAGATTAATTTTCGATTTTTTTCTGGTTTCTTGTCTAATGTTGGCAACAAAAAATAATTTTGAAACATAAAAAAGAGGAGCGAGAAACAAGCTATGAATTACGGATGAGTCTGTAAGATAGAACTCAAAAAGGTTGATCGTACCTTTTTGTATACGGACAATATCATTACAATTCATATTTCATTGTATGTAAAATGCTTAATATCCGCCATCCAACCTACCAATGGACCGATATAAAATAAGGACTACATGAATTTTGTTACAAAACAGGCACATGTTAATTTTTATGAAATTAATTTGCTTTGAAAAATCCAACCCCACTTTGCTTGATTAAAAAATTAAAAAATGTAACAAAACTAAGAAATTTCTTCATCAACATGACCATTTGTAAGCCAATTGGTTATAAAGTAATGGGTTTTATAAATTTAGTTCTTTTCTTCATACGAATCCTCTGTATTCAACGTAAATTACAAAATTACTAGCTGTAAAAGTGTTGGCTACAGAAGTTTCTTGCACAGGTGAAACAAAATAAAAATTCTTTCAAGTTAAGTTGAACACGAATTATCACAGAAAGTAATTATTCTGTTTTACATTTAACTACCATTTACCTGAATCAGTCTTAATCGTTCAAATCTACTTGTTGAGTCAATTATTTCTTGTTAGGTGTTAACTTAAGTGTATAACGAACAATTTATAGTGTCAACATATTTTACATCTAAAATAAATATTGATGGAAATATAAAGCACCGGGTTATCCTTTTGACCTCGGAATACCTGCGTAAATATTCCATCTATATGAACCATTATATTATGTGGTCAATTTATTTTCTTACAAAAATAACTTGGTTGTATAGCGGTAACCCTTTTACAGTGCTACTGTCTAAGTTCTGTTAATAAACTTTTCTTGTTTTTGATACTTTGATAAATTGGGGGTTCGCAAAGATACAAAAAGCTTAAGTTATCCTCACAGGTGGACGTGGTGTAGGTATATACGAGAAAATCAATATCTAATTAAGGAATTCACTCTGTCAGACCATTCTAAAACTGACTAGGGCTGGAACGTCTAGTACTTTTCACAGTCGAATCCTTTATTGGGAGTAATGACACTTGGGTCTCATTGTTCCATCAATAGCATATCATGGAAGGAACTAGCTCATAGCACTGGAGACGGCTGTCAACCAATTGTGGTCAATTGACCTTCATTAACAGCGAACTGTAGCAATCACTCGATATTGCGTTCGTACGTAACCATTTCAGCGTAGGTTACCGATGAGGTTACCTCCCTTGTTAAATAGTCAGCAGACTATAAATGTGTAATTGTGTGTGTCCTTCAGGACCAAGTTTGTTGAAATTTCACACAAAAGTAGTAACTAGATACATAAAAAATGTCTTCTGTCTTTCTAGTTTGCTTTTCAGCAGGCTAAAGTACTGTACTTATCAGTTTTTCCAGGATCTGATAAACCTGTTTCATGCTTGACAAAAGCAATCCCCTTTTTGCTTGACATGGTTAAAAACAAATTTTAATTCTCCTCGTTATCATTGATGATGGTACGGCTACCCTAAATTTTTTTTTTTAGATAAACCAAAACTGGATGTGAAAAAAACTGAAAAATCGCTTTATCACAAAAACTGGCTAATTGAAAATCGTATAAAGTTACTATTCCGAAAAGCTCTTCCACACTCAGAACCACATTCAGCCCATGTGTTTATAATTTTTTCTATCAATCTAAGTAGTTCCTCAGATGCCAAGAAATAAAATTAGTTTTGCAGGTTATGATTTTGATAACCTATGATATTTTAAAACATGCAATGTGTATTGAATTCATCGTAGACTTGATTACCAACATCAAGCAATATTTTCTTAAAAAGGTTGCAATAATTTTCTAACATCTCATACCTCAACATTTCATAATGATATTTTACATGAGACAATGCTTTACTGTTATGTAAACTCTTAAATTATTAGTAATGCATTTGAGATATCCATATCGTATCACTTATTTAATCAATATAAGTACTCTTGCCCTTGTCTTATTGGTTGAGATACAAGACCAATTCATTGACACGAACGGCATTGAAATGAACTAAGTAAAAATATATATATTTATATAACTTTCCTGTTTACTTTCCTTGAAAGATCTGTTCAATATTTTAAAGATTTTAAATTATTTGTACTTTGTTAGATGTAAAATATAGGTGTCTACACTGTCCTTACCAAAAATTTATTTTCACCCATGAATTAACCTAATTTTTTTCAATTTCAAAATTCTAAAGAAGAGAAAATCTAATAGGGATGAATAAAACTATATTTTAAAAATACTTGAACCATGAATTTATTTGTATAGCAAATCATATGAAGCATGCACTAATGCTGACAATGGACTACAAAGTACAATAAAATGGAACGTAATAGCTGGATGCCCAATAGCATAGCAACAGCAACCTTACAGTACACAACTCTGTATATATTATGTATAAAACTGTATAAAACATGTCTTTATTGTAGAATGTAAGGAAGTATTTGGAACCACAGCCTATAGTTTAAATGGTGTGCTTTTACTAACATACGCAGCCCGAAACGCTACCATTGTATATGTATATGAAGTATCATTAAAAGTCTAACAATCGACCATGGAATATCGATACAAAATAGAGTACATAAAAGTAAAGAAGTACCAAATGTATATAAAATACAGAGCTTTGTAAATTTATTTTACTCTACAAATGCACACGTCACATTTCTAACCTAAAAGTTTGAGACAACAGTTATTAAAAATCGGAATCAACAATCTTCGGTTCAGTCACCAATTGCAGGTCTACTACATAATAAATAAAGTAATAAATATTGAGCATACACTGAGTCTGCCCGATGTAAATTACAACAGAAAATAAACTGAGTAAGATAGAACTGAATACAAACCGATTCTACATTCAAATTCACAATGATATATACATACACTAGATACAAACGTAACACTAGACATTCCACTAGGATAATTCCCAATCTGAATACAGCGAATCTTAGCTTTCCAATTAGGCCTTTAACTACTCTGGGCTTACAAAAGTATAAATAATCACAGTCAATACAACACGACAGTGTCAAAGGCACAAGAGTGGCAGTCTTCGTGGCAACACCGTCGCAACTGCAAGAACACATAGAGAAATATACAGCATGGTATGTGGAACATTCGCTCAGGGAATCCAATAGACAACGTTTTGCCAGTTTCGTGAAAATTAGTTTGTCAATTAGTTCTTAAATAGGCCTACAACAATTAAAAATTATTATTTCAAGGTACAGTGAGTTGAAGATACAAAAACGTAGTACTGTAGCATTTGAATAAATTCACACGAATTTGAAACAATATATTTAAGCGAAAAAAGCGGCAAGAAGATGCATATAGACATCCTGAGCAAATGTTATAAGCTTAGAATATGGAACGCTTAAAATGGAATGATCTTTAATTGACTTGAGGAAAAAGTACTTGTGCACATAAAACGGAAAAACTTCTACGTCATGATAAAATTTCAGCAAAATCTTAATTAACAATAATTATCAGTCTTACAATTCGATAATTTAAACAGTCAAAACACACTTTGCAAAAGATTTAAAAATTGGGAATTTCAAAACCAAAATAATAAATCAAATAGAGAACACATAGAGAGTAACAGTAGAGTACGACATATATTCCGTAAACAAAATACTTTACAAATATACACTAAGATACAAAATAGCTGCCTAGGGTCAATAGGCACGGGCAGGACCAGGATCTTCAAGTTGGATGGCGGCAATTTCCTCGCCTTTGCTCCTGTATCATTGACTGTTGCTAGCCGCTGTTTCTATCTTCTTGGCCAGTTCGGTGATCATCTCGCGGTATATGATGGGGTCCATGTTGCGACTCAGCATGTATATGATCCACCAGTCGCCGACGTCCGTCTTCCTCGCTATGGCCTCCGCCACTTCCCGCGGCACCAGCTTGTTCCTGGCCCTCAGCAGCATGGGCCTCACTGACGGACAGGCGATGATGATGGCTCGGTACATGACCAGGAACGACAGCAGAGTCAACAGAATGATGAACCAGAACCAGATGAAGATGTAGGTCTTCTCGTTGACGATGTTCAAGGGAAGGATGCAGAGTGAGTCGTGTTTTTGGATGGTTCCAGAGGCTCCGTACTTGTGGAAGGTGCACTTGGTGACCCTGGGGAAGATGTACACCATGGGATCTACTCGGTCTTCCTGCACTTGCTCGGAGAACGTCATGACTCGCCAGCCGTAGCTGAGGAACTCTCCGTCGAAGAACTTGTTCATGAAGTACAGCTGCACCACGATGTTGACCAGGCAGAGCGCCTCACAGAACCAGTAGCGAATCGCGTACATGTTGTGTCTCTGCAACATAACATGTTTTGATTAGTCAAAGCTGCAACATCTAAAATTGTTAAACCTGAAACGGGTTGGATATGATTGGATAGAATTAAATCACCGTCAATACAATAAGTAATTTAAGTAATGAAACCTCGTTATCCAGTATTTGAAGTTACTGTACTACGGCAATATATTTTATTAATCTACACAATTCGTCACGAAACCCTGATCTTATTTCATGTTATTCAAAACTAGACCTGAACTTAATCTAATCAGCCCAATATCCCACTAAATTATGTGTTGTAAGAAGCTTGAGTGGTTTCAACCTTTAGCCAACTTTGACTAAGGTAAACACTTCCAGGATATGTGTAACAAATTGAGTCTCTTGCCATTCAAAATGACACTCTTACACCCACAAATAAAACATATAACATATTGAGAATTAACCGTACAATAATTTCATATTACATACATTATTATTAAGCATTAGGCCACACCGATTTCATCACTGTTTCACCGAACCGGGTAACGGCGTTTCAGAGAAGCCTGTAAGAAAGGCAATTCCCCCGGCGGGAAGGTCGACGGAGGACGTTGGCTGCAATGTCCGCAGCTGCAGAGGTCGAATCCGACAACAATTACGTAACGAGAGCAAGCCCTCGTGTCAAGACGGACTTGACAGTGTAATTGCAACGTGGCGAAGAAAAAGGAGCAAACAAGTTCAGCCTCTCTCCAAGTACAAAGGGAATCGAGCAGAAGTGATCTGAGCTCTGGGTTATGGCTATGATCAAGATTTAGTTCGATTGATGTCAGAATAAAAACTTGAGGATTGAAACAAATTGGGCAGTGAAAATAGGAAGTTTTTCTCAAAAGAAACATGGGCAATGGAGCATTAAGGCTGATTGTAGATTTGTAAATACAGAGTACAGTATTTGAACAACTTAGCTCAAATTGCATAATAGTGAATCTTAAATTTATTAGAGAGTCTATTCACCCAGACTATTGATTACTTGATCAGTTCCAACGAGTCTGCGACGTGCTTTGATTACCCTACACAGTATTTTACAGCTGAGTATGAATGCAAGAACGGATAATAGTGTACAGAGTTGACTAAGATAAGCTTTTTCTGTACCTAGCAACAATGATCAGGGAAAACTGGGCCCATTTTTAACTCTTAAAAATCTATACAGTATTGACTTTTCTAAAGATAATTATTGATGGTCATTTAGGTTAAATATTCTGCTGATTAATATGTTTCATAAATAACGACACAGCCAAAATAAACGCAGAGTATTTCAATGACTTGTTTTTTGTTAGCACTCGAAGATCAGGTATCGGCTACTTCAAGTAGCTTTCTCTTATTTATCATATAAATTTCCCTTCACTTAACGTTGGTAAACAAAATTAAATATGCGTCAGCAGTTTCTTATCTGGCCTAATGAGGAAAGATGTATGTGGTACAAGTCAGTTAAATCTTTTCTCCCGGAAAACCACCCTCGTCGCCTGCGTACACAATGTCTATTGTAAGCGCACAACGCGGACGGGGGCGAGCCCACTAGATGACTCAGGAAGATCAACTGTGGGTGGTTGTTGGAATCAAGGCTACTATTTCAACTACAGTACATACAATATTATGTCAGCTCCAAAACTGCAAGTTTCAACAATAACATTGTAAAATAACTGACGACTACTCAAGTGATGTTGTGCAATATGCACATACAAATCAATTGTGGTTTTTCCATTATTTTCGCCTAGGTATTTCTGCCGCGGTCTTTTGCTGTGACGTAATGACGAGTAGTTTGCCTGGAAGTTGTTTCTCAATCAGGTAAGTAATTATTGGACTATAATAACAACACTTCCTGGAATTCATTCACAGTGTCGACAATAACTTTTCTAAATCACAAATATTATGCGAGTAAAAAATCTGGACAAACTTAACTTTCAAATCGAATCTTCCACCGTCCAAAGAAATGGTTGTGGGATTTGCAGCTATTATTTGATTGGGAAGTTTTTAGTCAGGCGTGATTTTATTTTGTCACAAATATTGCATTTCCGCGTTGTGACAGACAAGTTGGTCTGATAGAGACGCAGACACCCCGCCGAGCCAGTGATAGATAGCTTTATAAACGGCTTCTCACACTCACACTCACACTCGCGCATCGCACGTCGCACCTGTCCATCGCACATGTGCGGGCGAGCAGCCGAGCACACCACACAGCCACAGCACAACAGGTTTGATTAATAGTCACAAGTCCTCGCACATACAAATCATTCCTAACTACTTTCAGAAACGCGCTGATTAAGCCATTAAAATTTGCTAGAATGAGTTCGTTTCACGTAACGAGTTTTCTGGGAAACTTATCGCGGCATGCTGGAGGACAGCAACCGCTGGTGGAGGTTTCCAAGAACAGGCGAGCCAGAGGAGAAGGCGACCACGTACTGCTGACAGGGTATGATGTCATAGCTGGGATAAACTGTCGAGGACAAAGATCTCAGCTGGTTACCCTGAGGGCAATGCAGAGAATAATTCAACGAAGAGCAACACATTTGGTGGAAATTGCATTTACCGAGTGAATTTTCCAACAATTATGTAATCTTCCATTATGATGAGAAAATTAGATGACGATTGCCTTCAAACCCTTGCGACGGAAGAAACCAATGACTAAACAAATCTATCGGCAGGATTTCCTAAAAAACTTACATGTAGAACTGGATCTAGCAAGTAGCTGAGTTGGTTAGAACTCGTGAGGTCAGAAGGTAACTGGTTCAATCCTGAGAGGTCAGTAGTTGTTAATTCAACACTGGGCACAGCAGTCTTTTATCATTGGACTATTGCTGGTTAATCATTAGTTAATTTTGCTAGCTAAAGAAGTAGCTGATTTTGGTAAGAATTGACAAAGTATATCAATAAATTCCACTTTGAACCTTCATATCTATCAAACCCTACTCTTAGAAGACCTAGTGAAGTTGTTTTAATGGTAGGCTACTGGACCACTGATCCAGACAACAACACTTGGCAAACTGAACGCATACGGTTTTTATAGAGAAAGTAGTGGACATCGCACACTAATTTCTGTTGCTAGTTGGTTTTAAAATAAAGATGTACCTATAAGAAAAATAAAACACCAAACTTACGATCACAATTAACTGTGCCAATGAGATTAACCAATCTGTTCACGAGGTACGAGAGATACATCAATCAACGCATCGAAAGTAATTTCCATTGACAGCTGAAAGGGATTTTTCGAATGCGTGGATTAAATTTATATCAAATTTTAACCTTGAAAATAAGCAGCAGATTAAGAACGAGAACATGATTGAAGATTCAGAAAAGACCAGGTGCGGGTGCGAGAAGGAAAAGGGACACCTTCTTTAGTATAAAGAGGTCGATACACACACAGCATCCCTGGGGGTAACGACCTACTGGGACAGTCGCCACCACAGCTGCACACGTGGGACATAGACCACTGATCAGACAACAACACTTGGCAAACTGAACGCATACGGTCTTTATAGAGAATGTAGTAGACACCAAACACTGTTAAATATGTTGCTAGTTGGTTTTAAAATGAGATACGTAGTAAAATGAACCAACGATGACAAAGTGCTCTGGATATCAAGTATTTCCATTTTTTGTCGAATAAGCTAAGTTCTTAGCAAAAAAACTGAAACGGCAACTGGTAATTTATAGCATTTGTTATCGACTATAAAAACTAAAAAGTAACTACCTAACTAAAATGTTTTTAAAGTTTCAAACACAAAAGGAAAATATATTTATGACTGTAGCACACTCTAGCTAGTGGCACATTCAATAATGTATTCTATTTGAAAAATTAGCTGCAGGGAGAAATGGATAAGATGTTTACTTCAGGTGCTCAAAATCAATCACTGATACTAACTTTTGCTTTAAAAAGTGCAATTTGGCTAATTAATGAAAACTCAAGTCTTGTTGGCGTGTGGTAAAAATATTTAGAGATATTATTTTTTTATGAAAAATTGAATGTCAGTACACTTTCTACATAAACAGTACAGAGACATACACTGTCATCAGCTCAATTCAAGGATGATTTACTATGAGGGAGTACGATTATTCTACGATTCTAACTTTTATACTAAACACAAGACATTTTATTATTAACGAAGAATAAGGGAGTGGAAGATCACTCATTGAAGCCAGAATAGGTGGAATAGAGATGCATCCTAAACACATTTTTTTTAAGTACTCGCAAATATTTCAATAATATTTACAATTAATTAATTATTCAATAATACACGATGCAAGATTTGTAAACATGAAATTTATTTTATTTTAAGTTTGGGGTTCGTTAAAATATGACAGGTATTTTACAATGATTCCCAAAGAAGTTTTTTTCTGATAATTAAGTGAGAATACTGGCACTGGGAGCCTTATTAAACAACCTTGTTAGTTGTAGTATTGTCACCGGTCGAATGAACAAACAAAAGAACTCTTAAACGAACCGCTGTGACGAAACCTTTAGTCTCAGTTTTGCTGGCTTCTGTTAAACCTCATTTTGAAATTAGTTGGACTAGCCAATAAACATTATGACTACAATGTGAATAAAGAAGCAAGCATAATGGAGTGCGGCTATGTCACTGAAAGGGTTTTTGATTATTTTACTGTCATCGAGACGAGTTCTGACCATCGAAGTATATAACACAACTTCGATGGTTCTGACGAGTTAATGCAGTAGTGCAATTTTGCGCAATTGAAATCAGATCCTCCTCTGAATCATAGATGCCATGACGTCATGCTATATAGGAGTTACAGGTACATGACGTTTATACGAGACAATAGAACTGCCATGAGTAATCACTAGTTGATCTTGCAAAAGAAAGGGAACTTACATACAATGGATATAGCCTATAAAAATCCTACCTAAATGAACTGCAGCGAAAAGTGCAATAACGTTATCTGTTGGAAGTGATCGGAAACCTTTCATTTGAAACTAAAGCGTGACTATCGTTTCCAAACCGTTAACTTACTCAAAGAACTTACTCCTCAGTAA